GTGTAGGGCCGGGGTTGAAGGGGGTCGAAAGGGGTCTTGAGAGGGGGGTTGAAAGGGGGTGTCGAGGAGAGAGGGATTCAAGGCGCAAAGCTTCGGGCGAGGGATTTGCGCCGGGCGGTCTGCGGGTTGGGAGCTTGCAGAGTGTCAAGCTCAAGGCCCCGGACACGGGCCGGCCTGGTCGCGCCATAGCGAGCAACGCCGCAGGCTGCCCGCTGCAACCCCGGTTTGCCAACATGAACGCGTGAGGTGGGCCGCAGGGCCGCGCCGCACCGCCGCTCAGACCACCCACCTGCTCCCCGCCGCCGGCCGCGCCGCCGGCCCCGCCGCCCGCCGCGCCCGGGCCCGCGCCCTTCACTTTGCCCTTCCCCTCTGCGCCGCGGCCGCCGCCGGCGCCGTCTGCGGCGCCGGCCTCGTCCCCAAACAGCCCGTCCAACTCCTGATCCATCTCATTGCCCCAGGCCCACACAAAGTCGTCCTCTTTGTATCCAAACGACCCCTGCGCCGCCATCGCCGCCGCGTTCGCGCCCCCGCCGCCGGCGTCTGAGGCCGCGCCGTCGGCGCCGGGCTTCGGGCCTGGCGCGCGCGGCGGGGGCAGCGGGGTCAGCGCAATGCCCTCGGCGCCGCCGGCCGCGGCGACCGCGTCGCTCAAGACGTCCATTAGCCACCTGAGGCGCCGCCCCAATGCGTCCGGCGCAGGCCAGCCGCTGCCGCCGACACTGTCGCCGCCGCCCGCGCCGGCGCCGCCGGGCGGCAGGGCCGCCGGCGGCGCGGGGCTGCTGAGTGGCGCGGGCGTGGGCGCGGGTGTGTGGTGGTCGATGCTGAGCCGCCGCGGGTCGGGCCACGCTACTGCATCCAGGTCGCCCCAGACGCCGCCGACGGGGTCGCCGGCAGCCTGCAGTGAGGCAGGAACAACAGAAGCGTCTGAGGCGCTGCCGGTTCTTGCAACCCGCACAGGGCAATGGCACCCCTTAGCACAAAGCTGATCAGAGTGGTCCACCAAAAGAAAGGATCGAGGCAGGCATGAAAAAAATTGCGCAATGTGCTCCAGCGCTGAAACGGTTGCGGCCGGCGACCCCTCGTCGTCGTGCACTCTCCAGCCCAGCCGGCGGCGCAGACGGCGCAGGCCGCTGGCAGCCGCCCGTATCACGCAGTTGCTCCGGTTTCAAACTCGAAACATGGAAGGCAGGGAGGCAAGCCGCCCCAACCTGAAATGCGTGCGCGAGCTCTGGGTCGGCCCTGATGGCGCCGTACGCGCCGTAGCCGTGGCGCCACACGCCCACCAGCAGCGCCAGGTCAGCGTCCACGCCCCACCATGGCGCGGGAGGAGGGCTGCGCCCGGGGTGGACGGGTGGGGTGGTGTAATGCAGCGGGGAGGGGCATAAGTTCTAGGCGTGGCCGGGCAACCCTGAGCCTGAAACCGTACAAGGACCGTTAGGAAAGGGGCAGAACAGATAGAGGGAGGCTGATATGGCTGGCTTACGGTTGGACGAGGCTTGTGCTTAGCAGCATGGCGCCTGATGATGTCCCCGGGCAGCGAGATCAGCAACGGGCCAGCGGGCACCTGTCGCCCGCACGTGCGGGCGGCCGCACCAGAGTTTCGGCGGCGCGGCCTCCAGCACCGCGCGCAGGCGCCCGGCGACCGCCTCGCCGCCGCACGCGAGCAGGTGGCCCATCAGATGCGATAGCTCGGCCAGCAGGCGCAACCGTTTGGCGGCGGAGCGGGCTGCGGCGTCCCCCATCTGTAAAAACATACACACACACACACACACACACACACACACACACACACACACACACACACACACACACACACACACACGTACATACACACACGCGTGCAAACAGTATCATCGGCAGCAGCAGCAACAGCAGCAGCAACAGCAGCAGCAGCAGCAACAGCAACGACAGCAGCATTGGAAACAGCATGAGATGGGGGGAGATTAGCAACGCACAGCATTGGTGATGAGAACGACACAGGCGCTCGACCTTGCAGGCAGCACAGCATGTGCACAGACTGCCCGCAACAGCACACGCTCGCGGTACGAGGAAACAAGATCCAGCTCAAGCAAGAGCATGTACCCACCGGCTCAAGCGGCGCCCCGGGCGTGGGGCCGGGCGCCGGGGTGTCACGCAAGGACAGCAGCTGCTCAATGAGCGCCGACTCATCCGCGGCCCCCTCCTAATGCAGGGTTCAAAGGGCATTGGGATGGTCACAAACGAGCAGGGCTGCTGCGAGATAGTGTGACAGCGGCTGGGGGACGGTGCTTGGGATGCAAGGGGGGGGGGGCAGGGCGGATTCAAGCGGGGGCGCACGCGCACAGCAGCAAGCTGGGGCGTGGTGCTGCCCCAAGCGCCACACAGTTCATCTAGTTTACTGCCTGGCCTCGCATCAGCAGCAGCTGCACCATACACAGCACGATGAGGCGCGCAGAAGCGCACGTGCTCACACACACGAACATACACACACACACACATGTATGCACACACGCAAGCTTGGAATTGCGCGCACGCCGCACCTCTGACAGCGCCCCCCAAATGTCAGCAAGGACCTCCCAGCAGGCGTCCTCCACATCACCAACGCCGTGGCCCAGGGATCGCACGCTCTCAATCAGCGCCGAATGGATCTGGCGCAGAGGGGATGGGGCGGGGCAGAGAAGAATCGGCAGGCGGCTCCGCAGGTGGCCAGCGGGGAGGGGGAACGCAGCGCCGCGGGCTTCCGGGTCGATCAGGGTAATCAACTAGCAAATGGTCGCGGCGCCGTGCGGAGACGGCGCCGTGGAGAAGCGGCCGCAAGGCAATACGCTTGCGAGACAGCGCTGGCGGCGAAAGGCGGACTATGGAGGGGGAGCAGCGCGGCCGCGCAGGCAGCGGGCGGGCGCGCACCTCCTTCCAGCGGCCGACGCCGTACGCCAGGAACCACCGCCGCAGCGCCTCACGCTCCGCGGGCCGCCAGTCCACTCGCTTGCGCTGCAAGATACAGGTGTGTGGTATGGAACGCGGGCGCAGTTTGGTCAACCTCACTGTGCATCTGCAAGCGCAGTGGGGCGGCCCGTGCCCAATGGCCTCGGCATACGTACAACTTCACAGGATGTCAGGCAGCGTTCCAGCAGTCGCCATGCAGAGCTCAGCCCAGCGCACCACTGGCAGCGGCCGTGCGGGCGGCGGCAGGTGGCTGCCGGGCACGGCGGTCAGGCGGGGCAGCGCATCGGCCTGTTGGTGCCAGGCATTCTGCTTCCTCGAGACCTGCTTTTGGAGCTTCTTGATGTCGCCCCTGTTTGCGATGGCATGCATGCCAGGACCAGTAGGAGGGCTGTTGCACGTCCGACGCAGCTGGGCCTAGTGCAACGGGTGATGCGACATGCGTGTCGTGCCCAGCATGCGGCAGGCCTTGCAGCGGGCGTGCATCAGCAGGGGCAGCACATTCAATGTGTGAGGCAGTACCTGTAAGTGCTCATGAGCTTGCTGATTTGCTGCTGCCTCTCTGATGGAGCCTTCTGCTGCTTCTGCTGCTGCTGTTGCTGCTGCTCTTGGGGCTGAGGCTGGCCTGTAACGGCCTCTCCCGCATCCAGCATGGTTTCATGCGAGGCTCCTGGCGTCATTGGGGTATTTTCAGCAATATAAGTGCATACTTAGCACGGTTCTGTTCCGAGATCATTCAATCAGCCTTCAAAGAACCCGGCATATTAGTGGCCGTACACCATACACAAACATGTGAGAGCCGTGTGCGATCTGACATGTAGAGCACCCAGGTGCACTGGCGGAGCAGCATCTCCGGGCCCTCACAATCACGCAGCCTTAGTGCCCGCAAAGTGCCCAGCACCTGTCTGCCCTCTGCATGCCAGGCAGGAAAATGCGCGCCGCAACTGGTCTGCTCTTTGGGCATCCAACGGCCACATCAGGACAGCCTACTTACGCATAGCTGTATCATTCATTTGTTTTGATTCACACTCAATTCTGGTCATGCGTGCGGATCTTGCTGAGGCACATCCAACTAATACGCACTCACGGGCCAGTCAAGGCCTGCGCGGCCCGCTGTCATTGCGTTCCCAACCGCTGCCCTCGGCCCCTGAAAACGCCACGCTGCTGCTGCTCCTCCACTGTTGGCGGCGGGCCGACACCCATGTTGCTGACCCAGCTTGTAAGCAGCTTTGGCGTCTTGAGGAGGTTCCTGAACACAAAGGGTTGGGCAGATGGTGGGATAAGAGCAAGCGGCATCATGTAGACACCGACTGCACCTTTTCACATGACGTGCGCACTTCCTGCAAAGCAAAAGAAGAGCAGCGGCAATGGCGAGAAGGCCTGCGCGTCGTCGAGCCCGTCAGCCGCCCAGTGGGGCACGCGCGTGCCTGTCCCCCAGAGCGTCCACCAGGGCCAGCCCGGAAAGGGGGCTGGCAAGTCCAGGTCGCTGCGCCGCGGTTGCCCCCTCACCTGCCGCTGCTGCGGGGGTACAGGTCCGTGAAAAAGTACCAGATGTGGCCGGCCGCGATGCCAAAGAGGTCCGGGATGGGGCTGCCGCCGAACACGATGGTCATGGCGACGAAGGCGAACGGCAGGTAGAAGGACTGGATTGTGAACAGGCCGTAGATATTGACCTGCCAGGCAAAAGGGGGAAGAGGGCCGGACAATGCGGTGTCCAGGGGTATTGATGAGGGAGGTGGGGGGTGAAGCGAACACGAGTCAGTGAGCAGCCCTGAGGGCTGCATGGCACTGACGGTTGCACATGAGACGTGACAGCAAATGCACAGTGCAACCGCCTACGCCCGACCCCACCCCCACGTGCGGACTAGTTTTGTGTGTCATGGGCACACGTCGCGCGTGATGCGTGAGCGCGATCACATCTTTCCGCCAGCCCCGCGCCCAAGGGTGATCACCGGCACGTCTGGGAAGTTTCTGCTCCACACGTAGACCATCATCAGGACCAGCGGGCCGGTGGTGAAGTACAGGGGCTTGCCGACAAGCGGCGGCACCGTCATCAAAAACACCCCCCCGCAGATGAGCATGAACAAGTAATCTGGCGGGGGCCAAGGGCGGGGGCACCGGGCGGCGGCCTCAGCCTGCGTGTCACGACAGGCAGGTCGAGCTGCAAGCTACGCAACGACCAGGCAGGGCACGCGGCAGGCGCTGCCAAACCGGACGTACCGAGGTTGGTGGCAGCGGCACAGTAGCCGGGGGCCCACCACTCACGGACCGGGGCCCCACCCACCAGCCGGGGTCCCACCACCAAACCACCCACCCGCGGGGTTGAATCGGAAAACCTCTGTCTCCAGGCTGCCGCCATACTTGATCAAGAACACCATATTGAAGACAAACCCCATGCTGAACGCCATGAACGTGTGGCACGTCAGCAGCCGCCACACCTTCGCAGGGGAAAGAGAGGGGAGGGACCCCATGCAGGATGATTCAAACGGCTCCAGGAGTGCAGGGATGTACTGCCTGCAGACTGGTTGCGGCCAGCTCTGTCGGAAGCGGCTGCAGGCCGCCCTCCAGCCTGACGCCCCTCCAGCACGGTTGCTGCCATTCAGCCCGCTGCCCCCATCCCAGAGCCGCTGCTGCCTGTCGTGTGGCCCATGACTTCCTGCTGTGCATCAGGCCTGGTGGATCCCCTTGAAGGATAGTGCCTTCATATTCGGGCAACAAGCAACAAAATGCAAGCACTGCTGCCACCGCTGCCACCGATGCCACCGATGCCACCGCTGCCGCCGCTGCCACCGCTGCCGCCGCTGCCACAGCTGCCACCTGGGTGGCCCCACCGTGCTGTTGCCCGCCGCATACATCACAACCGGTCGCAAACCTCGTATGCAATGCGTGCACGTGCTTATGCACACACAACACACACACACACACACCTGGTAGTGGCCGTAGACCTCTGGCCAAACCAGCGCTATGCTGACGGGGTTGAGGAGCCCCACGTAGTGCGCAAGTGCCAACACGAAGATGGAACCCGCAAAAAACCGTGTGATCGGCGGGATGGTCTCCAAAAAGCCCCCCAGGCCGCCAGCCTGAGCGGCGCCGACCACGCGCGGCGGCATGCCGGTGATGGTGCTGAGCTGCCTGTCGCGCGCGGGTGCAGCGGAGGGCACACTGGGTGCGGCATTGCGTACTGCATCCTGCAGTGGCAGTCACCTGGCAGCTATACCGGTTCAATTACGTTCTGCAATATTGTTGCAACGGCTGATGGCACTATGTTCTAGGTGCAGCGCGTCGCACACCTTGTCCTTCACACTTGGCCTACGGGAGAACCGCGAGTGGGCGGCTGACGCGGGCTGATTACCAATAAAGTAGTAGTTTTACGTCCACAACCTTTGTTGACGGCTCAGCTGCTTCTAGCTGGTTCCTAGATCGTTGGGATTCGGACAGCGACAACCTGTGATGAATGTCCTCAATCACAGAGAAAGGCCTTGATATGCAACAAACATCAGCGGCTTCCTGCGTTGCTGTGGTGAACCAGTGGGAACATCAGTAGACTTGCAAGCACTGCGTGGGTGCCCGCTCCTGCTAGTGCTGGGTGCGGTCCGGGCCCAGGCTCGGGTGCATCGTTACCGTCTATGCAATAGACTCTCTGAACATAATCAAGACTGAGCAGGGTCCCAGTGGGTTTGACTGCCATGCACCACAGCACATGGCATGCACAGTCATCAAGTATGGTTACGGCTGGCTGTTTCCAACAACCTGCTGGTCTGCCGTTTGGTCCATGCAAATGCAAACATTTCGCATCTGCTGTGGAAGTCAAATTTGAACGCACAGTGCTTTGGCGGGTACAGTAGGTTGTAATGGTTTGCTGATGGCTCCAACCGACCAGGCTGATGAGTGCGCTTGCACGTGGAGTGTCAGCATCTTGAGTGTCAGCATCTTGAACGCTGACACTCCAGGCCAACTGTGACTAATACTCCCTGTTTGGAACAAAACCGTCTTGAAAGATTCAGGATGAGAAGTTATCTGGGTTGAGTCGCTCTGAGTCGCTCTGATTATCGACCCGGGCAGCTTTACACCACCAGAATGTGCTGAGTTGCAGGAATCGCAGCCGCAAGGAAAGTCGCATCTAGCTACAGAATAGCGCCGTGGTAAAATGAAAGCGGAACTCGGCGAGGCGCGTGGCTGAAGTGCAATCTGCTGCTGATTGGAGTAACAGGGGCGCATGCCTGTGTGGCTAACGCTTGGTTGTGCTAGCTCGGGCGGGTAGCATCCTAGCACTACACACATGCATTTGTCTCGGCGACATCGACGCCACCTTGCTCACAACTCCCGCAACGCATGCTGCAATCCCGACCTGTTGTGTGCAATGTGAAAGTTTGCGACCTGGCAGCTCACACGCTTCCATACTCCTTGAGCCAATTCTCGTGCCTCAATATGTCCTTCTCCCCGACACTGGGGTTGATCTTGCCTATGGCCTGTGACAGGATGGGAAGATGGGCATGCTTGGAAGTTGAGTGCGATTCAGTCCTGCACCGCGCGCACGTGAACCGCCGCTACAGTGCCTTTGTTGCGCAGGGCCCTGCCTTCCGAATGCAGCCCCAGACAAATGCTTCCATTCTTCGTCGCTGACGCTCAAGAAAAACGCCGCCCTCCAGGAATGAGAGCGTGCTGCAGCACAGACTGGACCACACATCAAATAGCTGCCAAGTGAGTTGTCCGCTCTTCTGGAAAATTATAACGACGTCCTGGTCCTGCACAGCCTACAAGCGCGCCACATTATCAAGGCCGTCATCACCTGCAAGAAGTCGTCCTGCGTGACGGGCTCCTTCATGGCGTCCTTACTCATCTCCCGGATCTCGCTCGGCGTCTTGCCCGCGATGCGGCGCCGCATGCCGTTCATAGCCGCGTCCCTGGCCAAGTCCAGAGGTGTGCATGCGTAATTGGAAGCTGTCATTGTGCTGTGCGCAGGCCTGTCGAGGTACGTGCGGGGCGGCTTCAGCAGCAAAAAGCATTTGCACCCCCGCGGCATCCCAGGCACCTGCAGATGTTGGTGATGTCGTCGCCGCTGTAGCCGTCGAGGCGCTTCGTCACTGCGCTAAACTCCACCCCCGGGTCCACGTCGATCCCCTGCGGAGTTTGTACGGCACAGTCAAGGTGAACTTCACTTGAGTGGTGTTGCCAGATGACCCCCTATCGTCATTGCATAGCTATTGCCGTGTTTATATTGTCTCATTATTGCTTCAGTGTTGCCATACTATTGCCATATTACTGACTTATCATTGTAGCTGACAGTTAGCCCCCTATCTGTACCAACAGCACACAGTCCAGCACTCCTCAACACCGCCAGCCCCCGAGACCCTGCATCCGACGCCCCCGGAGGCACGCCCACCTTGAGGTTGATCTTCAGCAGCTCCTCCCTCTCGTCCGCGCCCGGCAGCGGGATGTAGATGCGCTTCTCCAGCCGCCGCCGCAGCGCCTCGTCGATGTCCCACGGGAAGTTGGTGGCCGCGAGGACCACCACGTGCTGCCGCTCCTCCCCCTCCTGGCTGTTGCAGCCGTCGATCTTGCGGGAGGGGGGGGTACGGAGGGGCGTGCCAACAAGTGGACATCACTCTGGGGCGTTTTGAGGGGTGGCTGGGCGACCACCTCGTCGCGCCCTCTGACGGGCCGAGATGCCTTGCCACCAACTCACGTATAGAGCGACCCTGTTGCCGCCACTCTCGCCGCCAAGAAAAACCTCTGCTTTGACTGTGCCGCCTTGATGGGCCCTCTATCGCTCGAGCAGGCAGCCTCGGCCCTTCCCTTTCACGCCCTGCTTGCCCGATTTTTGCTGCTGCATGCAGCCACCCTTCCCGCACCTACAGAGACAGGATCAGCCCAGCATCGCGCCCACTGGCCCTCACCCCAACCCCCTCACTGACCTGCACAAGCAGCTCGCTCTTCACACGCCGGCTGGCCTCGTGCTCTCCCTCGGCGCCCCTCTGGGTGCACAGGGAGTCGATCTCATCGATAAAGATGACGCTAGGGGAGTAGGCCCGCGCCAGCTCGAACAGGCAGCGCACCTGGCGCGGCGTCAAGGGGGGGGGGCGCTATGGATATCGCATTCCCAGGGATTGCAGGCAGCAGTGGGTATAGCACGGGCGGTGGGTCAGAGGCAAGGCCTGGGTCAAGCAAGCAAAGCTGAGCGCAGATCTCTCCCTGCCCCCCCGCCATCCCTTCTAGCACACAGACTTGAGCATGTGACCAGCCCCACCCCGACCACAACCAGGATAAAGGCCCGCGCGCCCTGCACTTTTGCGGACCGCCATGCACGCAAGCTTCTGTCGCCAACGCGCACACACGTGCGACGCAGTAACGCGCTCTGTCCCCTGAACCAAGGCCTCACCCACCATCCGCTCGCTCTCCCCGCGGTACTTGGAAGCCAGCGAGGCCGACGAGACGTTGAAGAACGAGCACCCGCACTCAGTCGCAACTGGGACGGGGCGGCCGCGGCCAAGGAGGTGGAGGGCAGGCGCGGGCGATCAGGAGGAGGGCGCGCGGCGGGTAGGCGGTCCCACCGGACGGTGCTAGCGGAAGCGCATGGTACATGATGGTCGTAGGAGACGGATTTGAGCACGGCAAATGAGGCGTGATCTCTGCCGCTGCGATGACCGCCGCCCAAATGAAATTTCGCCGGAGCCTCGCCCACTGGGCTGCCCGCGCCGCACTCACCAGCTTTCGCCAGCATCGTCTTGCCGGTGCCTGGCGGCCCAAACATCATAACGCCCTGCGCACCCAGGCGGGGCACAGGGGAAGACGGGCTCACACAGTGGCCCGGCAGCAGCTTGGCAGCCACATGCGCCAAAACAGGAGGCATCTCGGCCCTGAAACACCCGTGACAGTGACTGGGGTCCTGGCCGCACCACCTGGCCCGCGCGCATCGCCCCCCTTCAAGAAACGGGGGGCTGCCCGCGTGCGTTGACTGGTCGATAATTGGGCGGCGCATGACATCAGGAAACCTGCCAACGTGAAACCACCAGCAGCAACAGGCTGTGAAATCCCCCTTGCCCCCAACCCCCTACAGTATCCCCTCGCATCCCAGGGAACCAGCGCCCAAGACCAGCCTGCCTTGACGGGGCGCCGGATCCCCGTGAAGAACTCAGGCATGATCATGGGCAGAACGGTGGCCTCCTCCAGCACGCGCTTGGCCTCGTTGAGGCCAGCAATGTCGGTCCACCTTTGGATGACATCAGCGGGGCCGCATGCATGCGTGTGTGGGGAAGGGGGGCGGTGGTTGGCGCAAGCTTCGACTAGGGCGCGTCCCCCCGGTCACACGCATGCACGTCATCAGGCGCATGCATGTGGCCCAAGACCGAGACGCTATGCCCGCTCCATCAGACGCGGCACGCGTCGGCGTCATGGCGCAAAACTCAGCCCAAATGCCATGGGCGGAGCAATCTTGTGCAACATGCGCCGTGCAATGTGCGGCGTATGCCGCCTGGCTGGTGGCCAGACGGGCAGAGGAGCGGCGCGGCTGCTGACACGGGCGTGCCCGTAGCCGCCCACCTGACCCCAGGGCTCCTGTCCAGCATGTCGCGCTCCAAGTTGGCCACAAGGTCTCCATCGGGGCCCAAGTACTCAGACCTCCGCACCACACCTGCAGCCCCGCCGCCGCCGCCCGCCGCCGCCGCCCCTGCGCCGCCGCCGCTCGCC